CTTACCTATCCACAGGTTGATCATTGGTTTATTTGCCTGGGATGTAAGTCTCCAATTGTCTTCCAAAATATCTGGATCTCTATGTGCGGATGCATCAATGATTTCCGCGGTACGTTCTCGGCTAATGTGATCAGGGTTGATTGGACATTCCTTGGCTCCATTTGGTGTGAACAGCGCCTTTCAGGGCGTGATGTGCACACGGATGAGCTGCTTGTTCTTCTTGTCAAGGATCCAATGGTCCTGCTTTTGAGACCCAATGATCTTAGGAGTTGCTAGGTCCTCAATTGTCTCGGATGATTTTGCTGCACAAACAGTTTCGCTCCTGGTGAGATCCCCGGAGGGAAATTTGATGCTGTTATCATCGTCATAGACATAGTTGGTGAGGATGCCAAAGGCCTTGCATGTGATCTTGTCACATTGAGGTGTGTGCTCGATGGTCATGTAGAGGTTCCGCATCTGGCTGATGCTGAGAAGGATCGGTACAGTTCCTTGTTCAAGGACGTCGATGTTAGTACTGCGCGGAGGAGTTGTGTGATATCGAAGATGCAGGGTCCAATTTACCCTGGCGGTCTCTCCGTTTGCAAAAGTGAACTTGGTCTCGGCCGGGATGTAGGAGATGATGTCCTTCGTTGGTTCGATTGCCTTGGTAAAACGCTGGATTGCATGCCAGCTGCCCATAGATCTGGTACATCCATTGTCCAGAATCGCATAGGTCGGGTTGTGCTGAGGGTTGATGACAGGCGCCATCAGCTTTGTTGCCAAAAACCTGTGATTTGTTGTGACGGACAGATTGTGTTCTGAAACTGTATCTGATTGGATCAGCGTCTCGTGGATGGCCTTTTTTCCAGGATACTCATATGCATCATGGAATGCCATTAACGCTTGTCCTGTGCTGGATGTCTCATGGGATGAGTACCAGCCATGTTCGTTCCATGTCCATGATTGATCCCAATCTTGGTCTGTCCAACCGGCATAGGTAGGCTCTATGGATGGTGCAGTCTGCTGGATGGCGGCTGCTCCTCCGTCTTCTCTGCGGTGGCTGCGAACGTCTTGGATTTTCCTTTTTCTTGTCCGCTCTTTCCTTTGCCACTCTCATAGGATGGATAACCTTTGTTTCCGTCATAGGGATATTGGAATTTTGATTTTCCTTTCTTTCCCTTCTTCCAATATGCCTGGTCGTAGGGATCATAGTCTTCGTTGGCCATATTGGCCTTTCCGCCAGAACCGCTTTTTCTGAAGGGTTTGAAGCCACCTCGTTGGGGACTGCCCTTCTTGTTTCCTGATTTTCCTTTTCCTTTTCTCTTCTTGAACTTGAAGTTCCGCCCCGACACTTTTCTTGCTATGAACGCATCGTTCTCCTCGAGGACCCAGAACGTCTCTTCGTCGTTGTTTGACATGAATCCTTCAAGTCCTTCTTCATCCTCAACCCAGAAGCCTTCTTCTCCTTCATATTCACCTTGTTTGATTGCCTCCTTGAGGTCGGATGGATGGATCTTGGATCGATGTCCTAGGAATAATTCTCGAGTGAGATGTTTCTCAATGACATTGCACTTGTGAGTCGTTCTCTTTGTTGATCTGACAACTCACTTTGAATGATGAAAAAACTGTGCAATGAGATTATCCCCGAAGGGACATGCGTCCCGCTGTCTGTCCTGCATTCCTTGGATATACTGTCTGAGGACTGTAGGATCGTCCTCATTGAGCAGGGCTGGAGGCGGTGCTCGAGCACCGGCTGCTTGCTGATGTCGAGCAATTGTTCTTGCATTTGCGTCCTGAACGGACTGTCGACATGATGGAGACTGTGCCGTAAAGATTGGCATCAAGTCCATCCATGCTGCCTTCAATCTCATGAGAAGGATTTCGAAAATGAGGAACTCTTGGTTCTGCCTTCTGTGGTTGAAGAAACTGAGGAGTCTGTACAGATACACGTTGGTCGCACCTTTCAAAAAGTACTTCTTCAGCGTGTTCTTGAAATAGTTGACTCCTTCATCAGGATCTTGCAAAAGGTCATTTTGCAGGACTGCCTTGTACATATATGCATCTCCTGTAAGTCGGCTCTTCAGGAGAGGTCCTCTCTTTGGTGCTTCCACCGTTGTGATGGTCACCCAGTTGTCCACGAGTTCTTCATACCTGAACCAGCTGACTTTTCCGTCGTACGATGGCGGCTGCTTGGCGGTCATCGATAAATTAAGTGTTTCCTCCGTGTAGCTCGGCTTTGCCGAACTTGTATAGGCTTCCATGAAGCCTTCTCCATCTGATGACATCTTCCCTTGGATCTCTGCGGAAAACCCGCTCCGCTACCACAAATTGAGGCCCACTGCCCCAGCTGCCTATCCCCGGAGGGAACTGGAACCCTGTGGTAGTTGAGGTCGTTGTTGGTCCCTGGATCTATTTCGGAGAGAGTCCAATATGCCAATAATGGATGATTGGAGGATGGATTGTCCCTGGTGGATTGTCTTGTGGATAATCCTTTAAGCGGCCTGCAATGGCTCTTTTGTCCTCACGCTCGGATGGTCGCGATTCTGCAAAAGGGGCCCTGAGCCAAATGTTGCGGGAGATCAATGGTCTGGAAAACAGAACACAAGGGGTCCCCCACGCGCCGCGCGGCAATTTGATGACGTTCCACTAAACGTAGTCTTCGGGGAGCCGGTGTCGCAAAACAGGGGTCCCAGGCTCGATTCCCCCTGCCGGCCTTTTTGCTGGCTTGGGCTTCCTGCATCCTTTTGCCGAAAATCTGCAAAAAAAATGGTGTTTTTGGACGTCCTGTGGATACATACATACATACATACATTACATTACATTACATTACATTACATTACATTACATTACATTACATTAAATTACATACATACATTACATACATACATACATACATACATACATACATACATACATACATACATACATACATACATACATACATACATACATACATACATACATACATACATCATACATACATACATACATACATACATACATACATACATACATACATTACATACATTACATTACATTACATACATTACATACATTACATACATTACATTACATACATTACATACATACATACATACATACATACATACATACATACATACATACATACATACATACATACATACATACATACGCATACATACATACATACATACATGCATACATACATTACATACATACATACATACATACATACATACATACATACATACATACATACATACATACATACATTACATACATTCATTACATACATACATACATACATACATACATACATACATACATACATACATACATACATACATACATACATACATACATACATACATACATACATACATACATACATACATACATACATACATACATACATACATACATACATACATACATACATTCATACATACATACATACATACATACATACATACATACATACATACATACATACATACATACATACATACATACATACATACATACATACATACATACATACATACATACATACATACATACATACATACATACATACATACATACATACATACATACATACATACATACATACATACATACATACATACATACATACATACATACATACATACATACATACATACATACATACATACATACATACATACATACATACATACATACATACATACATACATACATACATACATACATACATACATACATACATACATACATACATGCATGCATACATACATACATACATACATACATTACATACATACATACATACATACATACATACATACATACATACATACATACATACATACATACACATTACATTACATTACATTACATTACATTACATTACATTACATTACATACATACATACATACATACATACATACATACATACATACATACATACATACATACATACATACATACATACATACATACATACATACATACATACATTACATACATACATACATACATACATACATACATACATACATACATACATACATACATACATACATACATACATACATACATACATACATACATACATACATACATACATACATACATACATACATACATACATACATACATACATACATACATACATACATACATACATACATACATACATACATACATACATACATACATACATACATACATACATACATACATACATTACATACATACATACATTACATTACATACATACATACATACATACATACATACATACATACATACATACATACATACATACATACACACATTACATACATACATACATTACATTACATACATACATACATACATACATACATACATACATACATACATACATACATACATACATACATACATACATACATACATACACATACATACATACATACATACATACATACATACATACATACATACATACATACATACATACATACATTACATACATTAATTACATACATACATACATACATACATACATACATACATACATACATACATACATACATACATACATACATACATACATACATACATACATACATACATACATACATGCATGCATACATTACATACATACATACATACATACATACATACATACATACATTACATTACATACATACATGCATACATACATACATACATACATACATACAGACATACATACATTACATACATTACATACATACATTACATACATTACATGCATGCATGCATGCATGCATACATATATACATACGAGAGAGGGAGATTGGGGAGAGAGAGGCTTGGGGGGATGGGGAGGGTGGGGAGCAGACGGAGGGAGAAAGGACGACAGAACACACAAGGGAGACAAGGGAGAGAGGAGGAAGGAGAAAAGGGAGAAAAGGAGAAAAGGGAAGGAGGACGGCGGACTGAGCCGGAGGCTCTAAAGTAAAATACAATGACATGCTATTTGATGCAGCAAGAAGTCATCAAATTCCGCCATGAGGTCTGCGGCTCATGTGCTTGGTACGGTGCTCAGCATGAAGTCATGGAGCCTTTCCACGGTAGGAGTGTTGCCAGCGTGCGCAGCCAGCAAGGCACGGTGTCGCAGAAGCTCTGCCAGCGGGCCGGCAAACTCGAGGGCGGCAAACCACCTGGGTTCGTGCTGGCGCGTGTACAGCATGGTACGCAGTACAAATAGAAGTCAGTGGGTCGGTTGGTTGGACTTGCACGGGCGCCAAGTCAATACCGTCACCTTTCATCTTGGCGAAACCAAAACTGGTAGACAGGGTGCGTCATGCTTTGAACGGGAATCTGATGTAGTTGAACACGAACAATCGATTCCGGATACAAAGGCGGAGACGCCGACAGCTTGAACATTGGGGATGGGCCGGATGGGCCGGATGGGCCGGATGGGCCGGATGGGCCGGATGGGCCGGATGGGCCGGATGGGCCGGATGGGCCGGATGGGCCGGATGGGCCGGATGGGCCGGATGGGCCGGATGGGCCGGATGGGCCGGATGGGCCGGATGGGCGGATGGGCCGGATGCCGGATGGGCCGGATGGGCCGGATGGGCCGGATGGGCCAGATGGGCCGGATGGGCCGGATGGGCCGGATGGGCCGGATGGGCCGGATGGGCCGGATGGGCCGGATGGGCCGGATGGGCCGGATGGGCCGGATGGGCCGGATGGGCCGGATGGGCCGGATGGGCCGGATGGGCCGGATGGGCCGGATGGGCCGGATGGGCCGGATGGGCCGGATGGGCCGGATGGGCCGGATGGGCCGGATGGGCCGGATGGGCCGGATGGGCCAGGCCATAAGGCACCGAGGGACCTGTCAGCCATTCCTGTCCCCTCGTGCACCTTTCCTAGCAGCCGGCCCAGCACTTCCGTGCCATCGGGACCAACATCTGGCGCACCTGAAATTGGGTAGCACTGAAACACATGGCATACAAAGTGTCATGAATCACCAATTAGATTAGAGTGCATGTTGTGGACATCCAGCCTTGCTCGGTCTCTATGGTCATGCTGGAAGAGCCATCAAGTAGGCGGGCAAAGCCTGTAAGCCACCTGGCAAGGCACAACTGAACGGTTTCTGAGGCAGATTGCAGGGGTGTTGCTGAAGACTGCCAGTCGGGAGCGAATGACAACTGCAATAGTGCAACACATGCAACGTTGATGACCCAACAGTTTAACAGCTGGATTCCTGCATGCATCAACTTCCCACACCTGACAGCAGCACTCGGCTCATCTGCATTGATCGTGGCCAGCAGCATGGTGCGGAAGACGACGCCCTGGTACTTTGGGGGCAGGGAGAGTGCTGCCAAAACCGCACCTTAGATACATTCAAGGGATGCAAAGCGTCCGTGACACATGTCTAAAATGCGTAAAATAACTTGCAAATGGGTCGAACGTGTGGGGAGAATTACGGGCGTGTTTGATTTTGCGGCGCCGCTCGTGCCCGGCAGCGATGCAGAGGCCCAGAGCCGCAGCCGGCGCTCCGCCTCAGCCACGCGCCCGCGCTCCGCCAGTGCCCAAAGCTCCCGGAGCTCCTCGCAAGAAAGGGAAAAATCAGGGAAAATAATGGAAAAGAGATGTGGCCAAAATATGGAAAAGTGAGGAACCTGAAGAAAGAGAGAAAACGGAGCAAGCGGAAAAGGACAAGGGAGGCTTCAGTCCTTCAATAAAGGCCAAGAGTCAGAGACGCAAAGCGCCTTCACAAGTAGTAACAATACGCCAAGGGGGGCCAGCTGTCCTCCATTGCATGGTTGGCACCACTCCAGGCACGCGGAGTGTGCCAAAGAAAGAGAGAGAGAGAGAGAGAGAGAGAGAGAAGAGACAAGGAAGAGATCGCAAGCTATGGCCTTTCGTTCTGTCTGCAGTGACGATGCGCTCTGAAACTATCCTTTCCTTGAGCCTATCCACTCACATATGTCTGAACCGGCAACTTTGCATGACACTGTCACAACGTGAGTGAGCACTTGCAACCACAGTCACTGCATGCCACAGTCTTGTGTCTGGACAGCCACCAAGTCACAGCTTGCATGACTGCGAGAAACTCTAACCAATGTGCTGCGTGCAGCAGCTGCAGCAGCTTTCAATCCTCGCGGGCGACTGCCTTCAGCTGCCAAAGACTCTTTCATGTCAGGATGACACAGTATCTCCCGCATTCATAAGACTGGAACTCGACGACAAAACTCGTTGCAAACGAGTAGCTGCCAACCACCAACACTCGACCGGCACCCTGCAAAAATGCACTTACGGAACCAACATGCGAACGCAATTGCGCAGAATTGTACAAATCTGATTGCAAGCACGTGAATTCAAAAACGCGCTGGTGCTAGTGACGCTAGTGAAGGAAGCAACTCCCACTTCAGGCTGCAGCACCAGCGCTCAAATAACCAAGCCTCCGCCCAACCGCATGGCAAGCCGGTCACGGAGGCGCGGCGCCAAAGGCCTCTCGATCTCAGGGCCATCCTCAGCCTTCGCGGGCTTCGGGCTGGGCGTCACCGGACTCGGCAACTCAGGCGCCTCAGGCGCCTCAGGCGCCTTAGGCGCCTTAGGCGCCTTAGGCGCTTTTGCCTTGGATTGCAAAGCGAAGTCTCTTGCGCAAGACGGAAGCGCATGCTTGCCAAAGACAGAATCCAACTTGCGCGCCCAGTTGTATGACTCCAAGTGGCACATCCAGCGTCGAGCCTCACGTCGCTCGTGGACGCGACAACACAACAAACAGGTCTCCCTGGTGGGGCTTGCAACCAAAATGCGAGGCCCGTTTGGTGCTTCTCGCTCTCAGCGTGGATTGCGTTTCTGAATCGATGATTTGAACCTTCAAGCAGCAAGACCGGAAGCCGAAGTCAGAGCCTTAGCTTTGCACGCCTCATCCTCAGTGTCGGTCTCCGCAGCCTCAGCGGCAACTTGAGCCTGGCAAGCTATGGTGGCAAAATGGACGAGAGCTTTGTGCAAAGGATGCAACTCGGTCCTCTGGGATGGATGGGGAAGTGGAAAGACGTCGCGCGCTGCGTATAAGCACCGGCCACTCCGTTGTCCGAGTGCATTTCGGGCAGTTGCCAGGCTGATCTGGCATCAGCCTTATTGGTGGCGCACAGGCTGAGAAAGGCTGGTTGCCTACCAAGCAATCTCCAAAGAAACTGGAAGGATTTTTTTTGCTGTGCCCTCTCCATGCGCCTCCTGCGATGCTAAACTTGAAGCTGCTTCAATTCTGCTTGCAGGCAAAAGGCGTCACTGTTTCCAGGCTGAAAAGTTGTATCTCCACTCAGGAGCTTCCTTTTTGATTTGCGTTGCCCGAGGCTAAGGAATCAACAGTTATTTCATTCAGTTCCACAAGGGACACTATGGAAATTACTTGGGAACAACGCCACTGGGCGCCTGGTGCGATTCGCTGGCATTCACATAAATCCCTCCGTAATTGCTGGCATCATGCAATATTGGCAAGAGTAGCTTAGCTTCCTCAAAAACTACTTTTTTGGCACATTCCAAGGCGTCTTAGTTGGCAAAAGCTTCGGCTAGCCACTGCAAAAGCACATGCGGCTTGGAGCTCTTCTTACCATGCAATGCCTCGACGCTGACTGGAAGTTGGTTGAAAACGTTTCTCCCAAGCCAGCTGAAACGAAAGTCTCGCCATAGTGTATAGTGCCACCTTTTTAGGGACGCGTCCAAGTGTCAGTGTGTGGGGGTGTGTTTCCATGTCTGTGTGTCTGCGTGCGTACGCCCCCCCACCCCCCCCCCTGAGGCCCACTGCCCCAGGTGCCTATCCCAGAAGGGCACTGGTACCCTGTGGTAGTAGAGGTCGTTGTTGGTCCCTGGATCTAGTCCGGAGAGAGTCCAATATGCCAATGTGGTTGTGGAGGATGGATTGTCCCTGGTGGATTGTCTTGTGGATGCTCCTGTAAGCGGCCTGCAAAGGTTCTTTTGCTTCACGCGATCATTGATGGTACAATGATATGCGCAAAAGGGGCCTTGAGCCAAATGGTTGCGGGAGATCAACTGGATTGGGAAACAACCACAAAACAGACACAAGTTTCTTTTGATCTCCAGCACTAAGTATGAAATACTATTGGCTTCATGGCCTTTGGCCGTAGCCTTTGATGTATGCTGTAGCCATGCTGTGTGCCGTAGCCATGTGTATTAAAAATGCCGGATTCATCCTCTTTTCTGCTCGGATGAAGTGTCTTGGCTTTCGAAATGGAAAACACTATGTGCTGCTTCTTTTCGGGATACCTAGATGTATCAAAAGGTGATGTGCAACGCTATGTACACGAGGGACGATTGTGAAACTATTGATCTCTCACTCATGGTATAGTCTTGTAGACGGCGAGGATCAATCATCTGAATTGAGTTCGTGGTGCTGAACGTATGAATCTTCATGGTCAGTCGGATCGACGGTACCATCGGCGGCTGCTGTCGGATTGACTGCCATAGTCTCCATAATCATTCCAGGTCGAATTGCTATAGTCCTTCCACTGCTTCTGACGTCCCCACTGCTTGTTGTAGTCCTTGTACTCCTGCGAAGTCCAGGGTTGCTTCTTCTTGATGTACTCCTGGTATCTCTCAGCGCTGCGTTTGCTGGTTGCAGATTTGCTGCGGATGTGCACCATGAGAGGACTGTGAGAGTCGGAGTCCTGAGAGCCATTCATGAACATGTCATTGTTCACGTGCTTAAAGCGCTCTGCGGATGAGACCTGGTAATCGAATATGGCCTTGGCCGGATGGTTCTGCATGAACTCCAGTTGTTCATCGTCCATGCCGTTCATCTCGTCCTTCCGGAAATCCTGCTGGATGTTCGTTTTGCCCCATCCAAATACGGAAGTCATCATCACGTCTGGGAATGTTCGATCATATCCTGATCCACACTTCATGTACAGGTGATGACGGATAATGGATTTCAGGGTGCACGAAGTCTCCATTGCATACTCCATTCTGTCCACGAGTGGCAAGTCTTTCGTTTCATTCCAGTCTCTGATATTCTCTCATGAGGATGTTCACGAGACCGTTGGCCGGATTGAAGACGTGCTGGAGCTTGCTGTAGGTGTTCGCTGATTTGTTGGCGTCTCCGGTGATCGCATCGCATCGGTACAAGGTCACGAGCGGCATGATTTCATTTTGAAGATCTTCCCTTGCTGCTCCATGGCTGATTGAAGGATGGGTGTGGAAAACTCCAATGGTAGCGAATGGGAGATCTGCCCTCGTTATGTTGCGGTCGTCATACTCATGGAGTGACTTGTTGGATGATTTCGGGAGCATGCCACGAAACTCATCATTCTGCTCGGTGTGGAGAACGACGATCTCCTTGTCTCGGCCATGTCCTTGGACAATGGTGCGTGTTGGCAATCTCTTTCCAATGTACTTCTTGGATTCAGAAAACATGGATGGTCCTGTAGTTGCCAAACAATCCGAGGTCGGAATTTCGTATCGGGATCAGTGCAACTTCCTTCAGTTCCGAAGAAACATCTGAACATTCCGAATGTGGTTCCCCAATTCTGGCTCTTGGTGGAATTTGTGTCTTGCCAGAAGTTCCACTCTTGCAGAAGGTCCGCCACGGACAAAGCATGCGATCGGTCTGGATGACCACTGCTAGATCACGATGCCCTTGTAACCGTGTCGAATGAACGTCTTGATGAGCTGCCTGGATATCTCATCATTAGGACTGAAGAATGCGTCTGCTTCATTCAGGCATAAGATGTGTGCACTGTTTTGCATCATCATCTTTACGATCGGTCGATCCTTCATGGGCATGTTGCGCACCTCCCTGTTGTCCAGCTTTGGACTCCTCGTGAGGTTTCCATGGTTCAGGGTAAGCATGTTGATTGCTATGGATGAGGTGAACTCATGCATGTTGAGATAGTCCACAGAGGAAGGTCGGTCGGCTGCATCAGCGATCCCAGGATATCGGCAGAGGCTCGGATGATGTTCTGGTCATCATGTGACCTGAGCTTCTTCAATCCAAGCGGAAGCTTGATTGGATATCCGGATCCTGGTTGAGCTTGCTTGTACTCGTCGATGGTGGGACATTCTCCTCGATGAGGGAAGTAGAATTCTTCTTCTCCGAGATTGACATCGGAATCGACATGTGCCAATGAGGCTCTCTCACACTCTGTCAAGTTAGGATGAGCTCTTCTTGGATCTTTGTTGAACTTGTCCATGAAGCGGGAAAGGTTAGCCTTGGTCTCCGCGAGCTCTTCCTCTGCGTCCTTTTTGTTCATATCTGTGTCGAATTCCTCTGAGTCCTTGGGTGAAATCATCTAGGTTCTCTGAATTGTGATATTCCACGGTGACCTTTGGTTTGACGGACCTTTCCCCGGAGGGTTCCATCGTCTCTTCTTCAGCTTCGTCCTGATCGGTGGAACGCCGTCTCTTCTTGGTCTCTGAGGAAGTATCTTTTTCCTTGCTGTGCTTGGTGGAATTCACATAATTGAAGAAGGCATCGGCAAATTCGCGGATCTTGGTGTCGTACATCTCATAGTCTTCATGACTGAGATGCTTCTTCATGATCCACTTGTTGCTCGCCATGAGGCTGCCATCAGGTTCAAATGCTGCAACGATGTTTCTTGCCTCGATGGTTTTGTCTGTCAATGCTGTACGCTCTTCGGAGAGTCGGATGCCATAGTCTTGGTCCTTGAGGAATGCAAGGATCAACAGTGCATCTCTTCCTGCTGGCACATGGGTCAATGCGGCTTCTGACTCGTCGTCGTCAAGGATGACGTCATCGATGCGTGCCATGTGAACGTGCATTCTCCCCGAAGGGTTTGACTGGGATTTCCCAGATTTTAGCCCGTGCTCCATGACGCTGAAAAGCTGATTTCCATAGGTTGCATGGAACATGAATGTGATGGGCTTCTTCGCGAACGGCTTGATGTTTCTCTCTTCTTCGATGGATGGTGGTGCCGGCCTTCGCATTCTGTACTTGGGCTGAGCTGTGCCTTCATCTTCATGAGGCGCCTCGGATCTTGACGGATGCGGACTTGGCGGAATAGATTCCGTCGGTAGATCATAGTCCGGTTCGTCGTGATGAGGCTCTTTCTGCTGCTCAGAGTACAGGGGTCGTCCGAAGGATTGGATCTCGACTTGTCGTGTGTGTCCACTGCTGCATCTCACATAGAACTCCATCTCCGGATCGACATAGAATTCATTGCCATCGGGCGGATCTTGTGTTGAGCTTGTCGATCCATCGATTCCTTGGAACGATTTCTCCCCGTGCCTTGCGCTCATTGTATGTCCCGTCCACGGATGGAAATACGAATGCAATTTCGAAACGTGATTTTCCATAGCTCGGGAACATAGCCATCAGGAGAAGAGCTCGACGGAACCATCAGGACCCATGTCCACAGGTCGTTTGCATTCCTTATGGGTTCCATGCCTTGGATCATGTCGAAGACATCCGGAAAGTGATCTGCTCATTCTCTCAATTTGCCAGAGGATGAGATCTGTGATCTGTTTCGCCTTGGATGGATCCATGCTGAAGTATTTGCAAACCTGTTCGACATTCTGGACGGTCTTCTCGAGGTCAATGTTGCCATTGTGGCATACCATCGGGATGATGTCGGTTCCGTAAACTTCGGATTGAGCATTGGTGTAGCAGCAGATGCTGTAGACCTTCTTGGTGAAGTCCATGTAGTGCTTCTCCGCATGATGTCCTTCACCTTGGAGTGTTGGCTGCCAGTAATCGTTGAATCTGGCCTTCAACCAGAATACCTTAACTCCATGTGGTCTCTCATGCTCAGGAACGAAGTGGAAATCCGGATTGACATCGAGGGTGGTTGAGCATTCCCTGTAGTACTCGTACACAAAACTCAGGAATTTTGAGTTTCCGAAAGGTTCGGGGTGTACGGATTCCTTCTGGAGGCTGATGTTTGTATCCGATCCATATGTTACAAACCACCGATCATTGGATGTGAGAACAGGTCGCATCACTGGTCGCCTGGTCGATCACCAGGATGATTGGCGGATTCCGTCTCTTCATCCAGGATGTTCTTTGGTGCTGGCTTGACCTTGGAGACAAGCCTCAATGCTGGTGGCGGTGACTTTGGAACAAGTTTCGGATGCGGCATCGCCTTTGACAGAGGCCTTCCTG